ACCATACCCAGCTAATTTTTTTGTATTTTTAGTAGAGACGGGGTTTCACCATGTTGGCCAGGCTGGTCTCGAACTCCTGACCTCGTGATCTGCCACCTGTCTTGGCCTCCCAAAATGCTAGGATTACAGGCGTGAGCCACTGTGCCCAGCCCAAGATGCAACATTTTTTAATGAACCACTAAGAAAGAAAAAAAAAATCCTGCCAATTAAACCAAAACACCATTCCAATTTTAGAGATATTAAAATGCGAATAAAACGTATATAAGAATTGAGGAATAGGGTCTGTTTTGAGAGGTAATTTGTTATCTTAAGTGGAAAGTAAGAAGATCCCATCTCCTTACAGGACCCAGGTTAGAAAAGAAGAGCCTCCTCCGTCAGATCTCTCAGGGAGGAGGGCTGCTGCTCTAATGGCTCCAGCACTCGGTGAGGGCTGGTGGGGACCCAGGAGAGTCACAGGCACCAACAGCTCCAGCTGGCACCCCTTGGGGCAGGCTGCACCTGACTTCTGACTGCCAAACTCAGAAGCTTATGGTTGTTTGTGCGTGAGTCAAACACTCCCCTTGGTTTGAGGATGGCTCTACTCAGCATACACTGCTTTTACAAATCCAGTTCTAACTCTAAATAGAAAATAAATAAGTCTTCCATGAAGCCACACTTACAAACTTGGAGCCTACGAAAGTCCTCACTTACCCCAAGCATCCTGGTTTAATTAATTTTTAAAACCAGAAACAATCTCGGCACTTTACTCTAAAGAAAACATTCTGTCTGATTAGAGGAAGATGTATGTAGAAAATCAGAATCTGACTGACTTCCTAAAATCTATTACACTGAGAGGAAAATGGAAAAGAAAATATTTGCGTAAAGCTTTTCCCTGACTCTCAGAGGGGTTCAGAACCAGACCAATTGAGTACTGGGTCTCACTGCAGTTCCACTCTGCACTGTTCTATTTTCAGCACCAACTCCACTCTATGACATGAACACCGTCAACTGAAAACTAGGGGACACCACAAATCCTGCAAGCAGAAGGTGCTGCACAGGCTCAGATGCCCACCTTGACACCCTCGTTGTAGCTGTCAGCAGGGCTGCTGAGGCTGGCAAGGCTTCCCAGGTGACCGGGAGCTCCAGGGCGAGGCGGTTTCTTTGGTGGAGCTGCAGGATCTGGTGAGAGAGAACAATTGCCATTAAGTCATGTGTGTTAAGAAAGAGTAACTGCTGGGGGCAGTCTGGCCACGCTCGTATCTCGCACTTTGAGAGGCCGAAGCGGCAGGATTCACCGAGTGCAGGAGTTGGGAATCCAGCCTGGACCAACACGGAGAAACCCGCTCTTAGAAAAATACAAAATTCATCAGGTGTCGTGGTCGCATTGCCTGTAATGCCCAGCTATTCAGGGCGCGGCAGAGAACCTTGCAACCCTGGAGGTTTCGAAGGTTGCGGTGCCATTCGCACCCTACCCAAGCGCAAAACCAAATAAAAAACAGGTGGCCGCCTGCAATCCAGCTCACGCGGATCACTGAGTCAGGAAATCGAGCCATTCCTGGCTAACATGTGAACCGCCATCTCTACTAAAAAATACAAAAACTAGCTGGCGCGAGGTGGCGGAACGCCCGTAGCCAGCGCACTCGGGAGGTGGGCTTGCAGTGACTGAGACCCGCCACGTGCGACTCCCAGCGGCGACAAACCAGCCTCTGTCTCAAAAAAAAAAAAACAAACAAAATAAACTAAATAATAAAAAACAGAGAAAGAAGGTTGGCCTGGGCCACACCTGTAACCTAGTACATTTGGGAGGCGACGGCGCCATCCTGACCTCACGGAGTGCAAGACCCGCCTGGGCAACACAGGAAACCCCATCTCTACTACAAATAAAAAAAAAACAGAAAAAGAAAAGAAAGAAAGAAAAGAAAAGTTAGCAGCATCGGCCTGCGTGCACCACACCCTCAAGCTACGCTGGGAGCTTGCAGGCGCAGAGAATTGCCTCTAAACCCGGAGGGGACAACGGTGCATGACGCGAGCATTCGCACACGTCCACATTTACTCCACCGCCTGGCTCGACAGACGTACTCAGGGACTCTGTCTCCAAACACACAAAAAAAACAAAACAGACCACAAGGGGCAAAGACAACGAACCACGTTCCCCTAAATCCAAGTGCGTACCGCTTTGTTCTACAAAATACACAATCGTCTGCATTTCAAGCAGGTGCCTTTCTTTCTTTTGTCTTCTTCTTTTCTTTTTTTGAGACCAAGTGTTGCTCTGTCACCCAGGCTGGAGTGCAGTGGCATGAGCTCGGCTCACTGCAACCCTAAGGAGGTATTTCTGATGCATTATACCAACAAATTCTTTTTCCCAATACTCTAGTAATGAGCTGAATGTGGTAAACATCGTACTTGCTGTGGTCTGTAGAGGCAAAATTAATCATGAGGGTATTCCAAAGCTACGACACCACATACATTCAAAACCTGCTTTCATCAAATTAAACTAACTTTTTTCCACCCAATTCTTTTCTTCTTTACCTGGTTTACCCACAGGCTGATATATATGTTGGTTTCCAATCTGTGGGAAAAGAAAAGTTCAGTCAATGCACTGGTATATACAATTGGGTAATGACCTTTCTCTCCCACCCTGTCTATCTACCCCCTTGAACTTCTAGGCTAGATTCTGGGGTATCAAAATGAACAAGACAGGGTGCTGCATAAGATCTCAGTTGGGGTGGGGGATCAGGCAAATAAGCAAATGATGCCAATAGGATGTGTGGAAAGGGCTGTGAGAGAAGCAAGCATGGGACACTCTGGAACCACAAATATGGTGGTCATAACCCATTTAAAATGTTCTTACACGGCTGAGAATGTAAATTAGTGCAAATTCTATGGAAAATGAACTGGGAGAACTCAAAATAGAACTACTTATCAAATAACTCAAAATAGAACTACTATTCGATCCAGCAATCCCATGACTGTGTATACGCCAAAGGAAAACAAATCATTGTATCAAAAAGATACCTGCACTGCTATATTTATCACTGCACCACTCCCAATATCCAAGATACGGAATCAACCTTAGTATCCATCAATGAATGTCTGGATAAAAAAAAATGTGGTATATGTATACAATGGAATACTATTTAACCATAAAAAAGAATACAATTACATGCGTGTAATACTCAGTAGCACTTGGAGGCTTGGAGCGCAATGGGGAGAATTGCTTGAACCCAGCGAGGCAGAGGTTGGCAGTGAGCTGCGATCACGCCACCTTGCACTCCAGCCTGGGCAACAGAGCAGACTGTCTCAAAATAAATAAATAAATAAATAAATTCCTGTCTTTTGCAGCAGTGGGGATGGATGCAGTAATGTGTAGGCCATTATCTTAGGTGAAACACTCAAACAGAAATCAAATCAGGCATGTTCTCATAAGTGGGAGCTAAATACTGCGTATACCATTGTACCTAAGAATGTGGAATAGTCATCTGGGACTTGCAAGAGTTGTGGCAGGGGGGACAGCCGTAAGACACTTACTTAATGGGGCCCAGGTGCGGTGGCTCATGCCCTAATAATCCCAGCACTTTGGGGCCGAGGCGGACGGATCACGAGTCAGGAGATCGAGACCATCCTGGCTAACATGGTGACAACCCGTCTCTACTAAAAAAAAAAAAAAAAAAAAAAAAAAAAATCGCT